CTCTGAAAAGCGCCGTTTAGTCTCGCTTGCTTGGAGATCAGATAAGAAATGAAGAGGAGATTAATTCTACACAAAACAGGATTTGCTCTCTAAAGCTTTTTCACCTCCTTCTTCATCGACGGTAGAGTATTCATCAGGATATTTACTTTTTATATCATACTCGAATGGATTTAGTACGTGTGTTAGCAACGACCGCAAATACGTCTGAGGTCACAGGCCGTATACATACGCATGGATAAGTACACGAAAATTCAAGGGCATTGATTCAAGAGAAATTACATCATTGCCAAAAATCAAAAACGTAATGAAAAATGCCGAAAATAAAGCGCATGCTCATCACAGGACTTATTTGCATACAATGAAAGTTTAGAACACCCGACCAGATGGCCTCACCATCGAAGTTTTGCTAATTAACATTCTCTTTTTTCTGACCACTGAAGTGTTCACTTGTTCCAAAGTAATCAATGCTTTCAAGCGATTGAATTCATGCACGGCTTCAGTCATGTAGCGATTCTTATACCAGTTTCCACGGTCTCCGCTAGGAACGCCTGGGACCATGGTTCCCCTTTTATGTATTAAATACGAAGAAAAAAACGGCTTGCAGACTATCAGTCTCGCTGTTACACAAGTGAGACTAATAAGGCCCTAAGTAGTCACTTACGAGAGCTTAAAAACAGAAGATAAGTCCAGTTGGGTAATCCCAAGAGTGGTCGGGGTCAATTAAGGGAGCGGTCGCTTACGAGAGCTTTTCATTACAAAGTCACAGTCACACTTCAAATGGGATTTCACAAAGGTAGTCGTGACTAGAGCTGGTCACTTACGAGAGTGGTTGCAAGGAAAGTTTCGACTGTATATCAATGAAAGCCAATACCAGACTATCAGCAAAGGTTTTTACTAGACGCAACTATCCTTGAACAGTAGGGTGCACTGAAGCGCTAATTTTGCAAAAAAGTACTTATGAGCAATGTAATCGGAATATTTCATATTATTGCTGTATTAACAAACGTGGAAAATTCCTTTGAGGCAATCCCAGTAGATTTAATGCGAACCTGGCTGGAACATTCTGTTCACAAAACTGCCCCGTGATTCTTTGGAGACTCTCACAAATCACACAAGGGTTTCTGGACGGCCCAGGCTTCGCGTGAATGCCAACAAGAGGCATTTCACACAGATTGTAGCTTTCAACTCAGTTCAGGCTGTAATGATTGGTAGACTTTAAGAACTCTCGTTTAAATTATCCAGATGACTTTACATAGCTGTTCGTGGATTTGGTTAGCAACCTGTCAACTCCTGAAAGGAGAAAAGCTGCATAGAATAGAAAACATGTCCAACTGGCTCTAGCCACCATCTTGTTTGTAGCCTGCAACGATAAGGAACTATGTTAAACCTGCGCCTCTCGAAGTGAACGCCGAGACACACCCACCTCCAGAGCTCCAGGAATTCGAAGTGATATTGGCACTATTCAGGATCCAAAAACAGCTACTGCCCTGACTGGTTACCATTTTGGGTCTGGAGAGACAACTGCCCAAACCTAGCTTCTGTGGTGACTGCTCTTTGGAACAAGTCTTTGTCTTCCCACACATGCTCGACAGCATGGAAAGAAGCTAACATCAACTCCCTCCCAAAGGTAGACATTCCTCTTCAACATCCAAATTTCCGGGGGATTAACGTGACTCCGGTAATAGCGCGCTGTTTTGAAAGAACTGTCCATTATCACTACAGTAAGAAAGTCTTTGAGGAAAATCTGATGGAAACCCAATATGCGTACAGGGATGGTTGTAGTCGCATAGATGCTTTCATTCAAATACAGCATAACCATTTAAAGGCACTTGATGACAAGCATTAAATCTATGTCAGGCTTTTTATTGGGGTGTAAGTAAAGGAATGTTCAACAAAAAATAATGAACAAAAGTGCCTTTTTTGGTTTGAGTTTCCCTCCAAACGTTTCGGGCTTGGCCCTTCATCAGTGGGGTACAAGCACGTTAAAATCGTTCCACTGTTTACATACGCCATGAAAAAACAATTAACACTCCAAAAAACTTTGTAGTGTCCAGGCAGTTTAAGCCGCTCGGAAGACTGGTGCCAAGCTGAAAGATCAGGCGCATCTCCAGGCGCTTATATTGCACATTTTCCCCGCAAAGCATAATTCCACGAACTAGAGTGTCGTTAGGCAAGTTCTTCTCTATAATTTGATTGTGCTCGCCAAAATGTTGTCTTAGTGTACGCCCTGTTTCCCCGATGTAGATTGCAAGGCAACAACGACAGGATATGCAATAGACCAAGCCAGACGTTTGGCAAGAAAATGCCTTCTTAATGAAAAAAGAGCATTGAGGGCCACAGACGTTGGTATCGCTGGAAACATGCTGGCAATTGCGACAGCAAGCATGTAAGCATGGATATACCCGTCTGAGAACTGGGTTGGCTGCAGTCCCAAGTACGCACAACGATATCACGGAGGTTGCTGTCTCGGCAATAGGTGACCAGCGGTGGTTGTGGAAACACTTCCCTGGTTTCAGGGTTACCAGTCAAAATGTTAAAGTTGCGAAGTAGGATTCTTTTGTTTCTTTCATTCAATGGATGGTAAGTAAGAACCGAGGGAATCCTATCCGACCTTTGAATAGAGGGGCGGTGGTTGCTCAAGACATCAGTCTGGTCAGTCCGTCGGATGGCATGAAGATCGTTTTGCAACAAAGCAGGTAAGTATCAACGTTGTTCAAAAAAGAACACCATTTCACCAACCTCTTCCAGAAAATTGGAGTCTTCAGAACAAAGACGGCGAAGTCGCAAGAGTTGACTGCGAGGGAGACCAGTTTTCCAATGACTAGGATCTGAGAACTGATGGTGAAGGTAGGTGTGGGTGTTGGTTTCTTTGTGGTGAATAGTGCCGATGTGATCATCAGTACCGTAAAGCGTGATGTCGAGAAAGGAGAGCTCAGTGTGAGAGATTGTGTGTAAATTGAAGAGCAGGATGTACGCCGACACGTTTGGAGAGCAACTCAAACCAAAAAAAGACACCTTTGTTCATTATTTCTCGTTGACCATTCCTTTACTTACTAAAGTGCCACGCAGCTCATCGGAATTTTTCCTTAATTGTTTTTGTTGGCCTGCCCCTAAGGGCAACGCCCTATCAAGAAATGAGAACCAATATTCTATGTCAAAATAAGACAAAATGGCACACAGAACTCCCAGAAGGCTTTGCGTGTCCCATTCCACCTTCAGTGAGGTCGATTTTAACAAGGAGGGGACAGGTCATTTTAGGTCGCCTGGCAAACAGATTTGGAAGTTGCATTGGAACGAACACAAAACTATTGCATAGAGTTATTAGTCCTCCACCTACACCAAATCACTACAGTATTCGATGACGTTGTTAGCCTGTGTGGGGGCTGCAGAAACAACGCCCTCCCACAGTCCTCACGGGAAAAGCTTTTACTTTTTGCAATTCTCTCCCTGCATGTGGAAAGTGGTAGTAGAGAAAGACTCAAAATGTGTAGACTTTTTTGTGAGCTGAGGCCTCCGGGCTCACATTGCTCACCCTCGGGCCACGAGAGCAAAAAAAATCTACACATTTATGACTCTTTCTCTACTACTCGGGGGCAGAAAAAAAATCGTTGACACTGGCGATTTTCGGCACATCTTGGAACGTGGCTGTGGCAAAAAAAGTCAGCTGTGACAAGGGCAGCAAAACGAAGGCTGCGGCTAGCAGCCACATCGAACAGAATTTTCCCATTGGCTGCGGCCCAAAATAGCCATTTGGCGTGTCTGTGCCCCAAGGACCGCAAATGCATGCAGCTGCCCTGCAACACAGAAGTGGTTGGTTTCTGCAAAGATGCAGACTCATCTCCATGGATCTCGAGCAGCCAATTGGAGATTGGAAAAATCTATGCATAATGGACGCACACAACAACCTCATCGATATGAGTGGCGATTTTGAATTCACGATGGACGATTATGTGGAGTGGCTTCAACAGGAAAGGGATGCAGACTCACCTCTTCAAACTGCCACTGATCTTGAGTGCGAAGGCAAGAATCACATCTCCTGCGATGGCAACATAGTTAGAGATGGTGACCTCTTTTGCGATGGTGACATCCTTTGCAGTGGTGACATTGTTTGCAACAGTATGATCGAGTAAACTGGTCAAATACTTTGTGCTGGCAGCATCCTTTGCCCTGGTGACATCGTTTGCAATGGTGAGATTATTGCATGCACAGGTTTGTACAAGAGGAGAAACCAATGTGGTGTGCTGAGGAGAGCAAATCCAGCCGCCTAAATCTGCTTATGAAAAAGCATTTTATGGAAATGGGGCATATGCAGGAAAAACATCTGCTGCTTGGAACAAGAGGCCCAACGTCGTGGTGTGCATATTCACCATCAAATGTGTGGCCACGGTGGAGAAAGAAAAATTGCTGGACATTCAGTGGATAGTTTTTGTTTAGAAACAAACACAGTGTTTCAGTTCCATGGTTGCCATTGGCATGGGTGTCCAAGGTGTTTTCCAGCCCCCAAAAAAGGAAACGGTGGTTGCTATTGAAAAAATAAAGGCCATAGAAAGCTGACAAGAGAAAAACAGTTTGAACAAACTTTGAAAAAAAGACACGAAATTCTCGACGAGGGTTTTGAGTTGATTGAGTGTTGGGAGCATGAAAGAAGACCCCTGGCCATGTGGCCGAAAAAGAAAATGGAAACTTTCCTGCATGCCATCGTGTTTTGATTTCGAGGTGGTGCAGGACACGATTAAACGCAGGCAGGTGACGAAGGATCTATTATTCGGAAACGAGTATGTGACCGTCTGTCTCGTTGGCAGACACTTTGGAAAGAGAGCCTGAGCACATCAGCAGAACAGATTGAATTTCTGCCAGACAGCAAAAAAGTGCATCAGCCAATGGTTTTTCCAAAACCAGTTCTGGGTTTCAACTCCAGGCATTATGATTTGAATCTGATCAAAAAGCATTTTGTGACCCACATCGCAAAAGTCAAAGTGGCCAACAAACAGAACAAGGTCATGTTCATATCACTGCCATCGGTCAAGTTTCTGGACATCATTAGCTACATCAGCCACTGGACCAGTTATGACAAACGGGTGAAAACGTACAATGCCCTGCTCTCCAAAGCGTGGTTCCCCTATGAGTGTTTTGACACAGCCGAAAAGTTGGACTTCTTAGGGCTGCTGCAGCAAGAAGAGTGGATCTCCAAGCTGAAAAATTCGATGACTCTCACCAAAAGAGTACAGGGATTGCAGCTAATCTGCTGGGTAAAAGGGATACAAAATTTTGCGGACTTGTTGCACTTTTACAGCAATCTGGATTTGGAGCCTTTCCTTGAAGCTTTGGAGACAACGCAAGATTTCTATACGGGGTGGGAAATAGATCTCTTCAAAGACAGGGTTTCGCTGCTGGGGGTCTCGATGAAATATCTCCTGCATAGCACGCTGAACAAACGAAATGCCCCCGGAGTTGTATGCCGCAGGGAAGGTAGCTTATGAAATGCTTCAAGGCGCCGTTGTCGGGCGGCCAAGCCTGGCCTTTTATAGAAAGCATGAGGCAGGCAAAACAAGAATCCATTCGCACAAATTCCAAGATGCGGAGGTGTGTCAAAAAGTTTTGGGCTACGATGCCAATGCATTGTATCTAAGCACAATGTTGGGCACGATGCCCTGTGGCAAGGAGGTCATTGTGCATTGGCTGCAAACGTCAGGAAATATCAAATAGTTCTTCGAAGTTCTGCAGGGAGACAAGTGGTTTGGGTTCGCTGAGATGGACATCCAAGTTCCGAGAGAGTTTTGGAAGAAGTTCGAAGAAATGCCGCCATTGTTTTACAACAAACCCCTTGCAAGCAGAGCAGTGCCGCAGCACATGAAAGAGTATTTGACACACAGCAAGCGCAAACCCATGCACAACCAACAAAAGTTGGTGGGCATCCTTTCAGCCCAGAAGATCCTGTTGTATGCACCATGTTGAAATGGTATCTTGACCACGGTTTGAAGATCACAGCGGTTCACCAAACCATAAACTGTTCCACAAAAATTTTCACGTGGTTCGTCAACAAAGTCACGGAAAATAGACGCAAGGGAGATCAAAATCCAGAGCAGGAGTTGCTGGCCGAGGTGTTCCAGCTTTTGTGCAACAGCTCGTATGGAAAGCTGATAAAAGCTCTGAAGCGGCAGATGACAGTGAATTGCACAAAGAGTGAAAGCGCTTTGAGGAAAGACCTGCAATCAGTGTGGTTTCAGAATTTGGAAGAAATTGGCAATGGGTACAAAATAGAGAAGCGAAAGTGCCAAGTGGAAATTGGCAGGCCTTTTCAAGTTGGGATCGCGGTCTACCAGATGGCCAAGCTCTGGGTCCTGCAGTTCTATTATGATTTTTTGGACAAGTTCGTACATAGGTGGGATTATGAGTTCATCCAGATGGACACTGACAGTCTGTATTTCGGGTTGTCGTGTGATTCAGTGGAAGAGGCTGTGCAAGGCAGAGGTAGTGCTTATCTAAAATCCGAATTGAAATAAAGATATAATTGATTTATTCATTGACTGCCCCGATACGGGGAAAGAAATCAGAGCAAGCAAGAAAGAATGGTTCGCATGGGACAAGTGGAGAGAGCGAGAGCCGGGGCTGTTCAAGCTGGAGTTCGAGGGCATTCATGGAATTGTGTTGTGTAGCAAGTGTTATTTCATGGAGGACGAGACTGGAAAGGCAAAAGCGTCCTCAAAAGGGAGCTCAAAGAGCCAAAACAAGCTGAAGTGGAAGTGATACAAGGCCGCGCTGGAAGGAGGTCTGCACACGGTCACGAACAGAGGCATCAGCATCCGAAAAAACTCGGCAGTGATGTGCACCTATGAACAAAAGAACAAACACTGGGTGCTGCTAGATGGCATCCACAATCGAATATCATGTATGAAGCGGTGGCAGCTCGGTGTTGGCAGCAACGACAAGCGACTCTTTGTGCACGAAGCTATGTTTTGGGCCATCATGCAAATAACACAAAAGCAGTTCTTTGGGTTTGGTGACAGATTTTTCAATGTTGAAGACTTTAAAAGACCGGATCGGATATGTGGCTCATTTTCCTCCGCCTTCCAGCTCACAGGGTTGTTAGCAACACCGCCCAACTGCATTGGAGGGGAGCCATTTTCGTTCAAATGTGGGGCGAGGAATGCAGTTTGGAGTGAGAAGATAAATTTGCCAAAGGGCTTGCTTGGTCAATCACTTTTTTGCAGCATCTTGAGAAACATTTTTCCAGCAGCAACCTGACCAGAATTTTTTGCTGGCTTTGTTTCTTTTACTTCAGTGGTGACAGCAGGCAGCCAACCACAGTGCAGCACAAGACTGCCAACCGAAGACGACAATTTGTAATTGATGATGTAGTCTTCCCGAAGGTCTTTTTGCCAACCATTCCAATCACCTTGCTCGCAAGCATCAAAAAGCTCGGCATCAAACTCTCAGTGGTCTTGCTGTCTGCACAGGCTTCGTACCGTTTGTAGTAGTTTTCCACATCCTTGTATGTGAGGCGTTTTACCTGGTCATGTGTTAGCTGGGTGCCAATAGCTTCTTTACATTTGCCCGTGGAAACAAGCACTGCCAGCTTTTCATGTTGTTCTGGAATGTTGTTGCCAGGCAGCGAAACAGACAAATCTGGGGGTTTCGAGTGGCCTCCAACATTTGCATGACTTGACATGACTCTACAGGTGACTGACACAAGCTTAAATATATTTGTTTGTCAGCCACATAGAAGTGATAAGACGTAATGTGCAGTTTGATTACATCAGCAAGCAGGGAGTTATACATGGAACATAGCATGTGCCCTAAAACAGAGCTTTGTGGGACGCCATATTTGAGACAACGGCTCGAGGAACGTTCGTTCTCAACATAAACAAACTGGCTTCTGTTAAGAAGATAAGATCGAAACCAAGTGAGAGCCTTGCCTCTGATTCCAAAGCGGTGATTAAGCTTATTCAGTAAAATGGAATGGTCAACAGTATCAAAAGCATTATTTGAAGGAAGATCATCGCAGTTATATACGCAACTTATGCAGTTGCAAAACCAAAGCCTGAAAAAAAAAATCAGCCTTGTACAGGATTCAATTACGCTTCAAAACGTCATAATGAATCAAATTCCTTTCGATACAAGCTGAAGGGGGCTTATATTCGGATTTGTTTTTGTTGTTTACAGGTAGATGGCACCTTAACAGAGGGTCTTTTAGTGGCAGTTACCAGGGTTAGATAAATTATGCTGGCATAATTTTGGGCATTATGCTACAGTCAGAGCATCGAGCATAATGCTGGCATAATGGGCATTTTTTCAGCATAACAAGAATAATAATGAAAATGAAAATTAATATTTTGAAGATATTTAATATATGTAATGAGATATTTTCACTCTCAAGTGCTTTTAGTGAAGATTTAACATATTCAAAGGCCTGGTTGCCACTTTCAAGGTCTGGTTGCACCACTGCATCATTATCCTAGGCTGCTCATTATGGAACAGTGCCTGTAGATCCATGTCGCCCGCAAAATCGTGGGTCCCATGACTATTTGCGCGCTCACAAAAGGAGCCGACGCATGTCGCGTCCTTTGATTCAAGACTCAAGTGTTAGCGTATTGTTTCCACGATACAAAGGTAATTTAACTTAAGAAAATCAACAGACCGAAGCTTTCGCGCTACTCTCTGTAATGCAAACGCTCAACTTGATAAATATTTTGATTTTTTAACGATTAAGGCCAGCAGAATGTATAGAATGCCAGAAAACAATCAGGAAGTCGAACTGTTTTGAACGGCGCTAGAAGTTGTTTTTTTCAGTATGCAAATCACTTACTTTCCATCGAACTGACATATCCCGACTTTTTTTACCACTTTTCGATTTGTTTCGTTTCATTTTATATTATTTTGTGCAAGCTGAGTTCTTTCAAGCGAATTTATGCTTTCAAAAGGGAAAAAAACTTCGAGGAAACGTTGTGTTTACAATCACGGCAATTCGCATCTATTTTGCTTCACTTACACTTATATGCAAATTACTGTTCCTCCGCTGCATTTCGCTGGAGACAAAAATGTCGATTTTGAATTCCCAGATGATTGCCTTTTTGGGCACCCTTTTTATTTTGGCTATCACGATTTTATAAGCTAAGCTTCAGAGTTTTTATTCCAACGTTTTAATATGGGAAAGTTATGAGAAATGCTGCAACTGATTAAAGTCACGCAACACGCTTTGACCGCATAACTTGATCTTCCTGATATCTTTTGTTCTTCTGTTGTCTCCAAAACAATAACGATGTTTCACCAATTTCCACCTACAAATAATAGGACACATTTGATTGACAGAAAAATTTGCATTTACTAGCGACGCGTTTCTACGGGCGCGATTCCGTAATGAAGGCTTTCTGGTTGTCTAACCATCACGGTTTCTAGTAATTGATGCAAGGAATTTTGTTTTTAACATATGGAGGTATTTTGTGTATGTGGGGATGGAAAAGGGCATCAAATATACCCAAGATTGGTCGAGCATACTGATACTACTCAACCATAATTTTAGGTATGCTTTCAACTGTAATGCTCATAAGCATAATGCTCAAATTTTCGAGCATAATGTAACTAACCCTAGAGTTTACGGTATTGCACCAGCAGGGTTGAAAAATTTAAAGATAAAAGCAAAGACCAGATGAATTTTGGTAGTTGTGGTCAAACGTCATCATGAAAATGGCTTGGTGACGCAAAATGGGACATCTGTTATGCTTCAAAGTGAGTGTTGCGCACTCCAAAAAAAGGCTTTAAAGTCATTGTGGAACAGTAATCTTCAAAAATTATCTACATACACAGCTGAAGTCACAATTCACAGTAGTCTTATTTTTCAACAAGAATATAACTGTACAATGTACCGTTTTTTTTTTAATTTGGTACTACTTCCTGTTATAGGTTTGTCTACTTTGTATTTGGTGTAATGTTCTTACCATATACCATTGTTCATTCCACCTTGGATCATTGAAAGTCACCACAGAGTATGACGTATAAGGCTGTAATATTTGCTGTTCAGCCCAAAGTACCTAAAGCAACATTAAAAAGTCAATTACGATGTAAAAAACACTGACTTCGGATCTCAGAACTGAGAAAATTCTGATCCACATAGGAAAGAGGGGTTCTGAGGCAGGTGGATCACGGTGAATTGTGTGGAACCACTGTTACAGAGATATCATAGATGATAAGGGGTCAATAGAGCCTTGGTAGCAAAGTTTGCCCCCCTTGTGAAATACCTCCATGGAATTCCATGGAAATCCATGGAACTTACATGCAGTTCCATGGAGTATCCACGGAGTTCCATGGAGTATGGATGGAGTTCCATGGAATGCCATGGAATTCCATGGAGTTCCATGGAGTATCCATGGAGTTCCATGGAATTCCATGGAATGTCATGAAGTTCCATGGAGTTTCATGCCATGCAATTCCATTGAGTGTATGTCCTTGGAGTTCCATAAAATTCCATGCAGTTTGTATGAGCATCCATAGAAATTCATTAAATCAAGCAACTCATCAACTTGATAACCACACGTTGAAGTCAGCACTTTTTATTAGACAGAAAAATAGAAATAATTAGGAAGCTTTTTAAAAGCAAAATACATGTCTGTTTCTTAATAAAGTGTGTTGTTGAAGTTATGAACATATGAAAATCATATATGCGAACTGCGGAGTGAAGAATTACATGAAGGAAAATCATTGCAGTTATATACGAAACTTTTGCAGTCACGAAAAGAAAGCCTGAAAAAATTCAGGCTTGTACGGGATTCGAGCCCTTGACCTCTGCGATACCACTTAAGTGTGTTGTTGTAAGTTTAAATTACACAGACAATGTAAAAGTAATTCTTAGACTTGTTCTTGTTCACTGGTCATGCTGAAAGTCCCACCCTAAGAAATGTCATTGCTTAGGTTAAAAACCTATGCTAATTAGGGGACACAAAATAAATAAATATAAATTCAACTAAAAAATATTAACATATAAGCGCAGGCATAAAAAATTAATGACATTAACAATATTTACAGTATGACAAATGTGTCTATGAATTGCAGAGATGACAACACTTGCATCCATTATCCATTAGTGTAACTATATCTAATGCACGTATTTTGTTTTTGAAACATTTTAAGGTAGTAACTTCTCTCAAGTCTGGGGATAATTTTCCCCAGAGATTGGGCCCCAAGTGGCGGAGGGAGTGCTTGCCATATGTTACCGAGTTGTACCTGGCAGCGGAGAAATCAGACTACCTTAAGTTATACTTGGATCTATGCTTAATAAAAATGTCACCGATGTAGGGGGGACATAGATTGTTCTTGGCTTTATACATTAAAACGCAATTGTCTTAAAGTCTCCTGTTCTGTAAACTTGGCAGTTCTGCTCTTTTTAGAAGTTCAGGGTAGCTAACATCGTTCCTAAAAACAGCACGCAGGCCCCTTTCTTGCATCCGCTCAATTTTACGAGAATCACTGGCTCGGCAAAAGTGCCATAGCATTTGTCAGAATCAAGTTTCTAAGTCTCATCAGGACGCCAATTTTCTGACCGGCAATTTTACAGTTCATGTTAATGTGCTCTGAAAAATTCAGCTTAGAATCTATTGTGACACCCAACAATTTAAGAGAGTCAGTTATACTAATATCATGATTGTTTAATCTGATCACTTGAGTGGTGTTATTATCGCTTTGGCCATGTCCGATGCTCATAGTTTGAGATTTCTTCAAGTTCCCGGCTAGAAGATTTGAGTTGTACCAATTAGTGGCTAGCTGTGCACTTTCCTTTAGCATTAACATAACAGAGGACCGATCCCGTCTTGTGTGATAGATCTGATGTGTTGACAACATGCAGCCGCTTCAATATAATTAACTATGAATGATTCCACTAGGCACATAACTCTTCTCGATATCAAAGTGTCTCTGGCTGAGAGCTGAGATTTTCCCTATTGCTTGAGTCCAACCCGAATAATGATATTGCTTTGCATGGAGTTTTTCAGTGAACTACATTAGCGTAAGTTTTTATCGTATCAAAACCTTCAAAGCAGCCAGCGATAGAGACGGTCGCCAGCGCATTTTGACAACCCTGTTACTACTTAAAAAGAGGTTACGAAAGCTATTGGGCAAAAGATTATGGTGACAGGAATATACAAATGTAGCAACAGAAAAAGAATTAATGCTATCTATGTCAAGGACTTTAAGTTTGGTAAATAATGGGGTGGTATTTGCTAGATAGTGAGCTTTTGATATAAGCCGCACTATGTACTTTTGCAAAAGGTAAATACAGTTTAGGTTAGAGCAATAGGAAGACCAGGCAACATTACAGTATGTTAGGTATGGATATACTAGAGAGTAATATAAGGTCAGCAACGATTTGGATGATAGAGAAAAGCAGACTGTTGCAATAATTCTCACAGTTTTCGAAATATTTTTAGAAACAAAACTAATATGAGATTTCCAGCAAAGGTGCTGATCAATGATAACACCTTAGAATTTAGTTTCCACGATTTGCTTGATTATAGTGTTTTCCATAACAAGAGGAACATTAACATAAATTTTCTTTTGCCTCGGATGAAAAATCATAAAATTCGTTTTAGTCAAATTCTTCGAGATAACTTATTCGCTTTAAGCTAAGTAACTATTTTTGCAAGTTCACGGTTTACAGGGTGTCCAGCGGCATGGTTGCTTGAAAAAATAGGAAAATAGGAAACTTAGGATTGAGAAAATTGGAAAATGGGAAACTTTGTATTGAAAAATAGGAGAAAAACAGGAAAATCAATAGTACTTTCGTCGACATAGATAGCCTCCTGCACCCCATCAGGGCTTTAATAAAGGCCACGAGTCCTTGGCTTCCACATTTGCAGGATTTAGATCACCTTGCGCAGCTTAGGAGTGAAAAAGATCAGTAACGTTTATTTTTTTGGCTCAGTTACACTGTAATCAGAATGATATTCTTCACTAGAGGTCGAGCACGGTTCTATAATCAAAGGTGATCATATGACAATTTCAAGTTGGCAGCAAATCTTTGAAAAGCTTCAAAGAGTGAAATTTCTTGGGATAGAAATTCCATATGATTGCGTTGTCACTAAAGGGTATTGAACTAAAAATTCCCATAGAAAGCTTTCCTTCCATCAATGTACAATTGGTAGCTGGTTGAGAATATGATTTTGTGAGTCAAAAGACCACACAGTTGTAATTACCAAACCAGGCTTTCCGCGGTGTGTTATGCAAAATGACACTGATCTGTTTGGTTCCAGATTGTAAGTGTGTCATGGTTAAGTTCTAAGAAGAACGTAACACTCTGCCTGGCTATGACTGCAAGACCGGTTTCGGAACCAAAATATTGGATCCTTCGTCAGTTACTTAGGTATTCTCGGTTTTCACGCACGTGACACTGACCTTGGCAACGGTTGCTATCCGCCATCTTTGTGCCCCTGAAATGTAAACAAATCTAAGGCGTGAGTGCGTGAGTTCGAGATGGTTCTCTGTATTGTGGTCAGTTGAGGGAGAAAAAGCAGTAAAGAGAACACAAAATTCAGTAAAATACCAAAGATTATCACAAATCAAGGCGAGGAGTGGGAAGAATTGACGCGGGAGCGAAGAAATCAATGGATTTCGGCTGTGAGGAGAAGGACATCCTAGAAAGTGAACATGTTTGTGATCGTCATTTCGTTGCAGGGAAGGTTGCAGCTACATGGGACAAGCACAACATCGGTTGGGTACCGACTTTAAATCTCGGTAAAAGAGACCATAAGGGAAACGAACAGAAAGAACAAAACCAGAAGGCTGCAGAAGAAAGGGCCGAAAGAGAAAAGGAACGAAGGAAACGTTCTATTGAACGACAGGAAGTCGAAGTTGCCGAGAAGAGAAAACATCTAAATGTGAGTGGCGATAGAGGTGTTGATATCCACTTCACGGAGACTACCACGAGTACCTCAACAGAAGAAGTCGAAGAAGATCCTGGCATTGCCAATGCGACAGAAATGGAGCCATCAGAGGCCTCTAATTACACGACCGGTACTACAAGCGATGATGAAAACTATGCTGAAGGAAGCATCTCAGAGCCTTCAAAAGACGCCGAAACACAAACTGAGGAGTTTGAATACATGTTTTATAGGCCAGCTTATCAAGCTCCGGACAGAGAGTTATCAGACGTGATGATAAAGTTCGCTTTTATACGGGGTTACCATCCTATCAGGTTCTCGTAGCAACTTTTAACCACGTGGCGCCACACATGAGTCACCGTACTCAGGCACTGGATCCATTCCAGCAATTTGTTTTGGTTTTGATTAAGCTTCGACTCAATGTCCCTTTTAAGGATCTGGCTTACCATTTCTTCGTATCAGTACCAACTGTTTCACGGATTTTTTCTTTTCATGGATGAATGCCATGGACTACAGGTTGGGTCACCTTGTTCACTGGCGTGAGAGAGAGAATCTTTGCAAAAAAGTGCCAATGTGCTTTACATACGCCTTTGGCAACAAGGTGACAGTTATAATCGACTGTTTTGAGGTTTTCATTGAAAAACCAACAAATTTGCTTGCAAGAGCACAGGCATTTAGTTCATATAAACATCACACAATATAAAAATTTTAATAAGCATCACCCCTCAAGGATCTATTTCATTTGTTTCTGAAGCTTGGGGGGTAGAACCTCTGACAAGTTCCTGACTGAGAATTGTGGATTTCTTGACAAACTTTTACCTGGAGACATGGTTTTGGCGGACAGAGGCTTCACAGTCAGTGAAAGTGTGGCATTAAAACAAGCTAAACTTGTCATTCCAGTGTTTACCAAGGGGAAGTCACAGCTGGACCCAGCAGATGTAGAGAAGACCCGAGGTACTGTGAGCGTTCGCATTCATGTCAAAAGAGTTATTGGAGTTTTCCATCATAAGTACACAATTTTAGAGGGTACTTTACGAACAGACTTTCTTAGGGGTAGCGCTAAAGAAGCACCAGATTCCCAGGTTCCCATAACCGACCGTATAGCGCGGGTTTGCTCTGCTCTTGTGAATTTATGCCCTGCAATAGTACCCTTAAATTAGTCATGTCCTTTTTGGTTACATTTAGAAGTTTGAAATGATAAGACATAACCATATTAACCCTTTCACTCCCAGAGGTGGTCAAAGTCAAAAGTAAGCAAAATTTCCAAATTTCATTTTGTAAAATGTTGAAAACAAATAGCACCATGGGAAAGTACTGTTGAAGGGGTTTCATTTGAATGTTAACCCTAACAGTTTGTCCAGAAACTCAAACGTCAGAACCACGTTACAACACTACACTGTATATTATTCAGTATGGGAGTGAAAAGGGTTAATATTCTCATGGTGTGAATTTTTTTTGGTCAGGACAGGACCATAAAACATGGGCTTGGACATCTAAAAGGTTGTAGCTCAAGCTACAAATGACTTTCAAGATATGTTTTAAGTGTTATTTCAGTGTCTCATAATAGCTTCATGCCAAATTATACGGCTGTGACACACCTGTTTCAGCCAGGCAAGGTGGAGATGCACTGCTTTAAATTATGACACATGCTGAATGGTAAAAATGTCTTTCTAAAGTATGTGTAGAGAGCTTTGAATTTTTGTAAAACACAAACATTCTTGCATTTGTTTTGTAAAAAATGTATCAGTTGTTATTGTTCTTGTGAATTGGGGAGGCAAAAAACTGACATTGCTCTTTCATGAGCAACCTTCAGACTGTTAGCTAACATGTCCTTAACCAGTGAGGTGACAGGTAACGAGTGCAATGTGTGGTTCCAGAAAGATATCCATACAAACCCAAGCAGTGTCATTTAAACCATGACTGGGAGAGGTTTTTGCAAGCCAAACTTTTTAGCAGGCAGTGTGAACTTCTCTTATTTCAAGAGTGGCAAGAGGCTCCCCCACCCCACCCCCGCTACATACACAATGAAGAATCAATGGAGAATGAGTCTTTCCTGGAACAACACAAGGCACATAAAAAATTAGTTTGCTCTAAATCAATTAAATACAAAAAATATATATGTTGTGGTTCAATTTAAGCCTTGGTTTAAATTTTATTTCCCTTTGCATTGTTTTTAACACATTATCATACATTACCATAGCCTAAAACAAAGGGAAATGAAATTTAAACCAAGGATAAAATTGAACCACAACATATACATGTATTTGGATGAGATTTTGGTATTATCTTGTTGTAAATTTTAATTTTCAATGATCGAAGAGGTGCATGGAATAAGGCCCTAAGTGACTCCTGATCTGATGAGACATTCTTCCTTTGTTTCACAAGCAAATACAACAGCAACTGAAATGAGAATTTGGATTGTTCCAGCTTTTATTAGCTACTTTGCGGGTAATGACTGTTACAAAAGTATCATTTATAAATTTAAACTTAATGTAATCAGCCAAGGCTAGCATTACAGAGACCATGCCCATTCTAGCTATCAAAAAACCTAAATGGACATAAATAATACTATACTATACTATGGCACTCCAGTAGTCTGTCAGCTGCTGTTGCCTGAGTTTTACAAATGCAAATGATGCTACCCAGCATGGCAGCATGAGTCACAGCAGATGCTTGCTTGCCTTCTGTTGACTTTTAGCTTTGCTTGAACTGAGGTAGCCTACAGCAGTGTGGGCAGTACCAAGTTTTCAGTGTAGGCACCTCTCTGAGAGATAAACATGAGGTGTGGAACTTTCCGAACGAAACTTTCCGAACGGGCATTCTACATTACTGGATGATACCACAATGATTACTGTTTTGGCCTCTACAAAAGCAAATACCTTGGTCATCGGGAACACTTGTAGGCACATCACACCTCCTTGTTAACCATCTGCCCAGGATTTCTGGGAGAAAGCAAATTCTCCAAAATTCTTGAAGTTTTGGCAAGACTCTCTTTGAATGCTCCAGGTCAGGATAAATTCTCTCAATTACTAGGTGTGCATTTTTACCAGAGTCAATTGCACAGACAACAAAGTCATTAAACTTTCTCTCTGGCAGAGTAAACAACTGCTGCTGCACTTGGAAGTAATAATTGTTTGTCTTTTTTAACTTAAAGGTTCCATTGACTTTTTCCAAACATGAGCTCTTCTTCTAAACGTATTTGTCAAAGCCACCATCTGGAATACAATGGGACATTTTACTTCGCCACACCCCAACCCACAACAATCACAAGATGTTACGAAGTCAGGTGTGGCATGCACGAATGGGTACTGCTTGTTAATAAACAGCCCACATCTTGTTACTTGAAAGTTGACATGGCTTTTTTCATATTTACAGCCGTGTTTAATTGCCTTGGTGTTCACTTTATACAGATGCGGATAACAAACTGACTTTATTAGTGACTGCAAAGGTTGTGCTACATTGCTGTGATAGACTGCACCACTTACAGAGGCTCCGATTCAACCTGCTCTGTGCCTAAAAAATCCGGGGCCCTTAGCTTGATCTCTTGTGTCCTGTTCAACAATTTTAATGTACTCATCTGACAACATAATTTTGACATCCGCACACTTCTGCAACAACCCTGGATAATCAAGTTCTACATAGCTCGTGTCATAAAGATCTGATAGGACTGGCACATTCCGACTTTTAACCACAAAGTTTTCAGCATATGGGTCGATTAAACTCAGCACAACAGATGAAGTGCTTCATAAAATTTTTCCATCTCCTCGGTTGAGGCCAGCTGCGAATGAACAGCGGTCTGTGCTTCACAAGGTTGAGTTTCACGCAAAGTCGCTTTGTTTTGATCGAGGGAGTCAATTTTCATGTCAAGGTTTCCTTCCGCTTTTTCGCAGAGGTAAAGTCAATATCCTTAACTCTCTCATAGGTTACCTCATTCACGTAAGTTGGCAGGAGCCATGAGCATTTCAGTTGTGTGCATGCCATCTTTCCGTTGACATGTGCCCAGCATTCGATATATATTATGGTGCTGGCGACATGCGAGCATGATTCAACGAGCCCGGCTTTATAACCTGAACAGTGAGCAGAAATTATTTCACCTTCGTTCTCAGTTATAAGCGAAACGTTGACGAGTGGATCGTTCATTCATTGTGAATGACTCACTTTAGCTGCAACAACATACTTTCCGGAAATTATCTTTTCGCTCACCAAAGCCACAAACCCTGATACAACTTGATTGTATACTTCTAGACTCTTGTAATTCTTAGACTGGTCCTTTGTGTAGTAACTGGTCAGCAGAACTAGGTAGCCAAATAAATCAGATTGTTCGATTGGTAACAAACATTCCGTATTGAACTGCTCACATGGGATTTTGAAAGGGTCAATACCGACTACACAAATTTTCTTGACGTATCGCAGCTTAACATGGCTTTCCAAGACTGTGGCATACTCAGAAAGCACCGGAATCTTGCTGAAGAACTTCTCTATTTCTTCCCTCTCGTTTTTGGGGGATAAACCCATCCCGAGTCTGCAAAAAAGCCACTAAAACGCGAGAACTATACACAAATATGGCGGACATCCATATTTGGCAAGTACTGTGACGTCAACCGAGAATAGCTGTTAACAAGAGCTCCCCAAGAGAGCTAGTGCCGTAAACTAAACTTGAGTCTGTTCTTTTCACATAGCATACAGAATCCAGCTAGTGATTGGTTCTTTAAACAAGAAGCTGATTATTTGGATGATTTATCTGATCTGTGCTGTGAAAGGGCAACTTGATCATGTTTTCAGTTTCAAAGATGAACATAAAAGGGAGCAAGACTTCACAATAATTATGAGGTGTACAGAGACTGAAATGCAGTTTCAGCCAGGGCTATGCACAACATTACTCAATAGTCATGAGAACTATAACATTACATACAATACATGTACATGTGGGTGCACTAGAAAATTATACAAAAAGTAACAATAATTATAGCAAATTTGTTAACAGAACTCTAATGGGCAATAGAGGTCATGGAAAGAACAAATGTAACTATTATTTTTGCTAACATTGGAACATCGATTGCTTTATGATAAATCTCACTGTAAAACACAATACAACTATAATTCCTTTTTCAATATTGTTGCAAATTTTGGCTTGACTAACTAAAAAATAGGAAAAATAGGAGGTTTTAGTTTAAAAATAGGAGAAAATAGGAATTGCTCAAAAA